CATTCACAAATGACTAGCTATTGCCATTATGTGGGAAAGAAACTGATAGTTCAGGCCAGCATTGTAATGTTCATAAGGATTGCTCCTCTTTACGAACCTTGTACATTCATGATGTTGCAATCAAAACATTATGTTTAAATGACAATAGCATCACATGTATACAACAAATTAATGTTGTGTATAATATAGTGTATAAGACTATAAGTTTATAAAATGACTGACTCTTGATATTTCTTGGTAAAGAATGATGGCTCTGGCCAGCATTTTAATGTTCATTACGGCAAAATATACATGGACACTGACATAATAGAATGCCACCTAAGCCTAGTCATGGACCAGACCCTCCCCTGCCTATCCACCCAACACATTCTCATTTTTATGCCTGCTTGTGTTATAATCCTCCTCTTGTCTTTTTTATCTTAGTAAAATATTTCAACCATAACTTGTGGGAGGTTCTTCTAACAGTTCGATTAACAGTATTGTTAGCTTTTAAAGGATCAGCCCTGCCCATAGTTTTTGGCTAGCCTTACATTCCACTCAGTCCTCAGTGACGGGTGTTACTGGTTGGATTCAATTCTAATGTCTTAAAATTAAATGACAATACTGGTATCAAATCCTATCACAGGGATGTGCGTTTGTGGTATTATTGTGATCCACAAGCAATTTCTCATTAAAGCAACATATCCAATAAACTGACAATTTTGATCGTCCTAATTGTGTCTTGAAATGTGGCAGAATCAATGAACTTCTTGATTGCAGTGTTGCAATCAAGTGTCAGTGTCCAAGTGTTACTGGGCACTGAAGTTCTTTCCTTATTTGAGGTCCCTCTTTTTACTCGTGAGTATGATCATCATGAGAAATTTCATTAATGATGGCTTCTATGCTTGACGCTGGAATGTCTTTAATACTTCTGACCTTAGCACCACAAGCAAGGCAAGCATGGGAAAATTTGCAGGCCTCTGGTGGAAGCTTGCATTCCCCTTTATTGTACCTCCGACAGACTTCTGCCTGATTTGGTTTCTTCTCTGGTGGGGAACTACCCAAGAGCCCCGCCCACAGGGTGCAAGATGACTGGGGGTGGTCGCTCCATTGCATAATTGACAGGAAAACCTCGCCCCCGAGAACACAGTCGAGGCTAAGAGAGAGGGGGAGATCTCCCTCTACGAGAGGCTGGATCCTGCAGCTGCCAGCTGGCGGAAAAGCCGATCGTAGGCTTGCCAGCCGCGACCACTCTGCCTCTGGGCAAGGTGTATGATCACCTGGGCATAAGCAGCTAAGTCCTTATACGCCATCCCTTTTTATTGTAGCTGAGTTGGTTTATTCCGATGATAACAGCTATTCCATGGGGAATAAGGTGTCTCTTCATTTCTGCATTTTTTGGTGATCAATGTCTTTACTTTTTAATGAAGTAGTGCGAACAAAATGACTATTTTAATTACTATTGAACCATATACGAAGAGAAGCCAGCTGGGATGAACTGGAAGTTGAAGGATGAGGTGTGAAAGAGAGGGAGAGAGAGAACACTCTTTTCTTCCTGGGTTGACTCAACAGGCTTCAAGACCCCCTCCAAGTTTGATATGGTATCTCCTGCTTCCACTTTTCTTTTCTTAGTCCCTATGCATAAAACAAGTAAGGAGTCTTACACTTCTTCCTGAAAGACAACTTGTCTCGATTGAATCTTGTAGTTTTTTTTTATTTGTAAAGTAAGCTATGCATTACATAGATGAACTAAGTATCACACTTCACTTCTCTTAACATTATAATAAATTGTTGTTTGAACAAGTGCAATAAGTATTCCAACGATAGCAACAACTAAGTTAGCAACTACAACAAATTACAAAATGCAATTGCTCCTGTAGCTATATACAGCATTCCATACCCAGAAATAACTTCAATTTTATATGTTTGAAGGTGTGATAATTGCGTTTGTTTTAATGATATCATGAACGCATTTTTTCACTTTTCCTTTAATCATTCAAAGTACAATGTAGTGTAGAGTTTTGTGTCACGAGAATAGGATTTATATTTCGTATTTTCATTCATATTGGTATAGTCAGCTGTTTGGAATAATCGATCGTTTGGAATCCTACTTGTCCTTGTTTCCATTACTATTTTGAGTGATTTTTGACAAATTGATACACAATGAATCCTACTCAATCTTTTTTCATTAATTTTTGTAATGACTAGCAATGGTTCCTGGCATTGTGTGTGCCTGGATAATGGGCAGAAGAGGTGCATGTCTCCTGTTCGAGACTACCGTATAGTGGAAAGTTTTCGTGGCCCAAATTTTTGCGGATACGTCCAATAATAAATTTCGTGGTTTTCTACATTTCGGCCATCTTAAATCGTATAGGATCGATTTTCGTGGATTTTATTTTTGTGGATTTTGGAAAAGAAAAAAATGCGAAATCCACAAAAATTTTGAGCCACGAAAATTTTCTGCTATACGGTATTTCCATGTGCCCAAGAGCTGGTGTTTGGCTAGTGTCAACCATCCTGCCTCGGGCAATATCTTTCATCGTCTGTATCTATCTTCCTTTTTTTACTGATCTTATCCACGACTTTCGTCACATCTTGTGACGAGAGGAACTTCTCTATTGCCTGACTCTGAGGGCAGAGGAGTCTTTTCTCCTTCTTAAGGTTTGTCTTCTTAATCACCCTTTGTTCCATGAGAAACTGCTTTAGTTCCGTGATGAAGTCCTCGAGACTAAAAGATAGAGGGGGTACTGCCCTTTCACAGATATACTATCATACTCTATGTCAGGAAAGCTGGTATAAATGGGACCTGGTGCCATATCAACTAGATTTAAAATAAAGTGCATTATTGTATCATATTATTTAAACAATACTGGGCTCTACAGTGTTTCCCATTCTTTAAATTTGTTTAGTTTAAATACTTTGAGGGATTTCATTCTCTCCATTAAAACAAAATCAAAATGTGCTATCTAAGCTTCCACAGACCATTACTTGTTAATTCTCTTGCAGTGGCAAGTGTAAGTGAAATCTGCTTTCTCCTTTTTGCTGTCGTCTTTACAGTAGACAATGAACTATAAATTATAAATAATTCCAATTACGTATCTACTTTACTTTATGAGTTTAGTCACCTCCTTTTCCAAGTGCTATTACCCATTGTCCTCGTTTTGGCATAGCTTTCCCTTCACCAATGAGTTCAGCACTATAGTCTCATTCAAGGAGGATACCGTAATTTGCCTTTTTTTCGTTGTGGAAATATTTTCGTATGATCCTAAAATGACGAAAATATTTCAATCGAAAATTTTTGAGCAACCAAAATTTGTGACCTAATTCATCAAAGAAAGACTAAGGTACGGCCTGATAAGTAGGTATCTTCTTGCAGCTCTAACCTTGCTCTATCCACTGGTGCTTGCTGTACTTCAATCAGTTGCTTCACTACTGAGTTATAAAATAAAACGGTCCACCATGTGACAAAAGTAGCCATTTAATGTTTCCGTTTATTATCCGTAAATTGATCATTGCTGCATCTCCAGTACTATCCGTATACTAGTAATGTCGGGGGGAACAGCCAGGTCAAGAATCTCTTATCTCAAGAATTATAAACACTACTATAGCGGCCTTGTTACCAGTAGGTAAAGGACAAGGTATATGCAAGAGAAGCTAAATTTTCAGACTGTAAAAATTTTCGTACACTATGAGAAGACGAAAATATTTCCACTTGAATTTTTCTGAAATGAAAAATTTTTGTACGAAAAAAAGGCAAATTACGGTATTTAATTTTGTAATATTTGTAAGGAGTCTGACTACTTCTTCTTGATAGACAGCTTTGTGTCTTGATTGAATCTTGTCGCTTTTCTTATTGTTAAAGTAAGCTATGCACTACATAAATATTAACTAAGTATCACACTTAACTTCTCTTACCATTATAATACCAATTGTTGTTTGAACAAGTGCAATAAGTATTCCAATGATAGCAACAACTAAGTTAGCAACTACAGCAAAATGCAATTGCTCCTGTAGCTATATACAGTATTCCATACCCAGAGATAACTTCAATTTTTTATGTAATAACTTTGTTAAAACATTTCCAGGGAAGTACCAATTGCTTTACTATAATGTGTGAAATTGTCTCTTTTATTTTATAACTACCAGGAGCACTGATCCTACTTTTTAATGTCCTGTTTCAATGCTCCATGAGTAGATCAGGAGATATATTTCCTCCACAGGTATACTGTCATACATTGGTGCTTCTGGTGTTATATTGGCTAGGCAATTCTTGAGTTGTACAAACAGAACCATAACTGCACATATAAAACATGAGGTACACGTGTCCGTCTGTGCTTGTAAAAAATGGAATGTCACTGCACGATCCTGTAAAACCCAAGTCAGTATAGTCACCCTTTAAAAGGGGAGTGGTCTGGCTCTGCAATGTATATCAGTCTGTGGTGATGCTCAGAAAGTAGAACTGCTAGTGTTTCATGTATAAAGCCCAGGATTCCTTTCATGGCTCCAAAGCAGGCATCTACAGCAGTACCAATTAGTACAACTGTATAACTGAGTGTAAGCATGCGTATGTTGGCATGTGTATCTCAGTATGGAGAATGGTAACAATGCTTGGTTCACAGTCGACTTTACAGAGAATAATAAAATCAAGAAGAGAAGGTGGAAAGAAAAATTATTGAATGAACAAAACACTGCAAAAGCATGCACTTAAATACTAAAAAGCAAAACGCATCATATGCGTGTAATTTGTAGAGTTTCATTGATATACATGTATGTGACTATCTCTCATTCTCCTTAGGTTAATACCAGTATCACTGCCAGTACTATTACCAGTGCTCTTATTGACTGCCCAAGTATATTCCCTCATTGTACAGTATTTGTTAATGATTATTATTAATAGGACAGAGGCAGGGATTAACTTGCATACAATGGGAAATCAGAATGCAGCCAGACTATTGGAGGAGGTGGGTATAGATACATGTACGTGTACAAACTGTGCATGTCTTTTTAGCTCAAATTTTTTCAGAAAATGTATTAAAAATCAAATTTTATCAAAACGACTAAGAGAGAATCACCCTTTGTGTATTTTTTCTGATACATGTACATGTTTTTATGTTGTGTAGAAAGCTTTTGAATTTTTAGAGTTGCTCCAAAAGTTATACACATGCGATGTATTATTGTATTCCTTGTCAACTCATGAAGTCTCTTTCTCCCTCTCCTTCATCTTAGTATGAAGATTATAGCTGGTGTTTCTGTTAAAGTCCCAGAGTGTCCTCCATAGCCAAAATGCGTAAGAGGAAAGGTTAGAGAAATGTAATGAGATTACTAAAATATACAAAGATTTACTAGGTCATGACAAGTAGAGCCTTATTGCTGTAAAGAAAAACTGCAAACTATCTGGCACAGGTGGGTGTGGTTGTGGGTGGAGTCAAACATGAAATACATTGAATAGGTTGATATGGGAGGAGTACCAGCAACACTGGTTAATATTGTGTCAAGACGTCAGCCATTAGCAGTTGCATATTTACATGAGTACTTTGGACCTCAGGTACTGATTGACCTAAAGATCAGGCTAATTATGTGTATAAAACACATGTATGATGTATAATAGTATAATACTATGAATGTGTGTATATGTACTAGTATAATGATAATAATGATTATTTTAAGATTTTGTTCTTTTCTTTTCAAAATTATGAATCAAATCAATTCTATTAATAAAATAGTTAAAAAGTTAGAGATGAGAGGCAGGGCTGCCAATAGGGGGGGGCAGGTGGGGCATTTTGCCCTGGGCCCCCAAGCACCTGGTCAGTAGTAAAGTATGCATAGTTTTTTCACAGAAAAAGATCAAAGAATCATGACAACTTTTTAAAGTTAACTCTTCCAGGGCCATTTTGTTAATCGCTGTTATTGATAAGGGGGAGATTTGTATTAGTAGAGGCCCCATCAAAGTTTTTGCCCTGGGCCCCACAGAGCCTATTGGCAGCCCTGATGAGAGGGAAGGGAAAGTATATATGAGTGTGTGTATAATGAGAGTGAAGGGGCAAGCAAAACTATGTGTGTGAACAATCAAAAGAAGACGAGGTAGAGTGACTTTATACCTTAAATTGTAACTTATTTAGTTAATACTTCATGACATGATAGTTGCCACATTCAGCAACATAAATATATCCATCTTTATCCAGTGCTACACCCCATGGATTAGATAATCCTGAGATTAATTTGACTTGTTTCCTGTCAGGACTCAATACATGAAGATACCCATTGTTACTTGATACAAGGATATATCCTTCATCATCAATAGCAATACCACTAGGACTATTAAAGTTACCAGCTGGATTATTGTATGTATCAAGATGAGTTTTACCATCAGGAGAGAAGACTTGAACATGATTTTGATTAGTAATGGTAACGTGTATCTTTCCTTCATTATCAACTGCTACATCAGATGCAGTACCATCACATTGTATGACTTGTACAAATGTACCATCTTCTTTAAACACTTGTACTCTATTGTTGCTGTACTCAGCTACTAATATATTACCTTTACCATCAGTAGACATACCACAAGGATTAGAGAATTGTCCATTTCCATTACCCTTACTACCAAACTGACCAATATACTGACCAGTAGTAGCTGAGAAATACTGCACAAGATTAAGATTATGATCAGACACATAGACCCTGTCTCCTACCAGCAATAAACCAAAAGGATAGTCAAACTGTCCACTACCATTACCTTTACATCCAAACCTTTTTACTGCAGTACCATCCTCACTAAATACCTGAACAAACCCATCCCAACTACCAGCAAATACTTCACCATTAGTATGAACAGCAACACCAGTAGTACTACTCCCTACAACAAAGTATCTCTGGTTAGTTAGTGTGGTATAGTCTCTTGATGCTTTTACTGACAGTTGATAAGGACTACCTTTAATATGGTGACCTCTTATAGTCACTGATAGTTCATATCCACCAATACTTTGAGGTGTGCATGATACAATGGCTGTGTTGTTATCATTAACCATAACTCTACCCTCCTCATCACTTTTGATAAAGGAAGCCTCCAAAAAGCTTGCTGCTTTATCAATGCCTGCTGGTAGAGCCACTTTGAATTTCCTTTCTTTCTTTACTGTTGCCAATGGAATAGCTAACCCACTATCAATGGAGTATGCAGCTATATCACTTCTCCTTGCTTCCCAGTCTCTAATAGCTTCATAAACTGATCCTTTCAGTGGATCTATTGATTGAGTAGACTGATCCTTTCCTAAAATGTCATTATGTATTAAAGCACTGTTGAGAGTAGGTTATGGGAATCATTGCACAAGGGGCAGTCGAGAGGAAAATGTAGCACGAGGCGAAGCCGAATGCTAGATTTTCGTCAAGACCATCCCGAGTGCAATAATTCCTGTAACCTACAAATCAACGGAGCTTTGATTGGTTTTTAGTGGTGCGTGGGCAGATCAAATTTCATTTCAAAAATCCTGCAGGTGACCAGGTGCAAGGCAATCAGAGATCTCATTTATCACTATTATTATTATTATTACATGTATAGTGTATTGTATAGTGGAAAATTTTTGTGGCCCAAAATTTTCGCGGATCTGTCCAAAAATTAATTTTGTGGCTTAATTTTCGTGGTTTTTTACATTTTGGCCATTTTGAGCTGTATGGAATCGATTTTCGCGGATTTTATTTCTGTGGATTTTGAAAAAGACACGAAATCCACGAAAATTTTCCACTATACGGTATGTAGCTGTGGCTGTGGTTTGCCTCTATCAAAGCTTGTGGTTAACAGGAAAGCCCATACATATTATACTGCACAGTACTACATATTCCAATAGTGCTAGATTTTATACCATGCGCATCATTGAAGTTGTAGCACTGGCGGTGCCTTTGATCTATACCCACGCACCATACTACAAGTTAATATAATGTAATGTACATACTAAGAGTAATTGAGGTTTCTTTCAGTTGTTGTATATTCATTAATGATATCTTTTCCTGTAACAGTTCTATCTCCTTTTCTCTTTCAATTAATGTTTTCTCTACTCCAATTAGCATTTCTTCCATCACTAGTCATTAATATAAATCAAAAATTTGTTGCTATTTTTAAAACAACAATAAGTCTTGAAACAATAAATATTTATCAATAATTTGCATATTATTTATTGCATGTAAGAAGGACCAGTATTAGTATTGAGTATATACAATCATCCTCCTACTATAACAAATTAATGTACAAGCAATAATGATACTCTAAACACAGCTGTACTGTATTGTCATTATACAGTATTAAGTATGTTGTATGTATACCTGTTTTGCTTTGAAGAGATGATCGTAAATGATCTATTTCCATTTGCATTGCTTTTTTCAACTTCTTTTTGCTGTCTTCCTTCTCAGACTCTAAATAATAAAAATGAACCAATTAAATTATTAGGAACAACAATTCAGCTACATGATGTAATTATTCAGAATTCATGCACATGACAATATTCATAGATATCATGTCTCAAAACATAAATGTCATTACACCTGATGATTGTATTGATGACTTATTGCTTTCATCAACTTCTCTACCTTCATATGAGATACCTTTAAATTATCAATAATTATAATTAATAAGAATTATCCATTCTTGTTAATAATAATTAGTATGTACCTAATGTGTCTATTGTACCCTTCAATTTAGTATTCTCCTCAAGTAAAACATCTCTTTCACTCTCTACCATCTCCAGTTTCTTCATTAGACTCTTCACCTCCTATCAAATATTATAAAGTATACTCAGTATTAATTTATATACACATACATTCACTAACCTCATCAATTGCATGTTCATCATACACAGTATAGTAACCAATAGTTAAACTAATCAATCCCGTCTCCTTTAGCATATCAACGTTATCTCTAGCTGTCACTAGTAAACTCTCCATCAGATAATGAGGAGCATAACAAGTAACAATGATGGAGTTCCCTTCCTTGATCACTACCACCTCCACTTGATTATCCTTAAACGTTTTCCATAGGAGGGCTCTGATACTGGAGAGAGAATGCTCACTTGGATTCCATTTCAAAACAAATTTGATGGTCTCACAAGTGAGGAGAGAAGAGGATAACCTCTTTAGCTGACGATTACAAAACATTGTTAATTTGTTCTCACAGAATTCATCCAAGTGTGTCTGATAAGCTAATATCATGTCTCCAGCATCTTGTATTGAGTACTTGTTCACTATAGTCTCCAATAGAGCAACGTTAGTGATAGAACACTCATCCTCAATCACTTCCATGACATCATCAAAGCAATTGGTATCTTTCAATCGAGGCTTTAATTCTGGACGGCACCTTCCAAGGTAGGTCTTCAAATCATCAACAGATGGTATGGAAGAAGGTATTGCTGCTTTTATGAGAGGAACAATATTATGAATAAGTGTACCACGCATATCACCCATTCTATCAAACTCAGCTTTATCATCCGGATAAAATATGACAGTCTCTGCTACATACATGTATAGTGTAATGACATTGATTTGGGTATAATTAATGTCACTAACCTTGTGCAGTAGCATCAGTATTGGTAGTTACTTGAGTCTCACTACTACTACCTTGTAATTGTCCAGATCCTGTATTTATTATAATAGTCAATGTATATATGTTATATTATATCATTACTTGAAGTACAAAATGGCATCACTGTTGCTGCTAAAGGAAATGACTTTCCTATTGTATTAGAATATAAATAAGTTAAGTGTATTTATATAACTGTTCATTTACCATATTCCATTATTATATCACTAGCTAATGACACTGCTTCCTTTGATTTCATTAGAATGCTTGTCAGAGTGCATAATTTGCTATGATCTTCAGCTACAGCATTTAATATTAGTAACATTGGATCTCCTACCAATGAACAACCACAACTCTTCACTTCTGTTAATGTATCCTTAGATACCATCCCTCTGTATGTAAGAGATCAACTGATTCCTCAGTAAGAACAACTTGAGCTAGTCTACCAATATAACACTGTAATATCTCACTAACAGGGTCTGCCACTAACAAAAATATGAACAAAGTATAACAATAATAACATTATTACTTGTTTTGCGAATATCAATGGCAACAGATTTTACATCCATTTCTCTAAGAGCATTAGCCAGTGTCGTCCAGATAATAGGACCAACAGTGGCGACATTATCATCAGCTTTAGTCAACCACTTGGTTAAACACTCCATCAGGCAGCGTGAAGGATTGCCTCTATGAGCTGACTCAATAGCTTCCAGTGTAGGATGAAGCAGACCAAGATTCAATCCAAATTCAAACCATCTTGCTTCAGGAAACTTGTAATGCTTCAAGACTTTTAGAACAAACTTTAACTTGCTAATATCTGTACACAAAATATGTACTATATCAGTGTATTATAAATCATCTGACTCACCTAATAGGAAAAGTGATGGTTTTGAAGCCATTTGAAACTAGTTTAACTTTGTTTAAGTATTGTATTATACAAGGTAAAAGGAGAGGTAAAGCCGTAAAGGTCTCGGTAAAGGTAAGACGCGAGAAGTAAAAGCAGAGCACAGCAAATTCAAAAAATGGGTGGGCTGGTGTAACCACGCCTATAGCCACACCTTTAAAATGGAGGACAGTACATGGTCCAATGGTGATGCTGGTTTCAAGGTCTCAGTGGAATCACTCCATACTACAAGAGTCAAGGAGATCAACTATGATGGAGAAGAGATATATGAAGGGTAACAGTCACTTATTATAATAATACAGAATGTAATTAATTGAGTAGGTGTTAGATCTATCTTTTATTGAGAATTCTAAATTAAAGTGACATAAATTCAATCATAAAATACTTTTGCAAATGATGCAGTTATATGTAAAATACACAAGAATTACTGTACATGCTCACATATATGTATTTATTTGTAGGAGACCTTCTCTCTCTCAGAAACTAAGTGAATTAGCTCAACATGTTGACTTTAGAGAAGAGAGAGCTGATGATGATAATGACAGAGAAGAAGGAAAGAAGAAACAAGAGGAGGAGGAGGAGGAGGGAGTTTCTGGTCCTACAACTAAGAAACCAAGTCATCGCTGGCCATGGGAATTCGCACACAAAACTCAAGTACATAAAGACATGTATTTGTATAAACAAGAGTATAAATCATGTATCAATGTATTGCATGCATAAAGTGGGAAAGAGGAAGAGAATATTAATGTTATGTATCATTTATAAATAGATTAAAAAAGCATGTACTATGGTACATGCTTTTTTCCAAAAAATGGCTTAAAAGTCACCTCAAATTTTTGATGCATATTGATGTCCTTATGCTGTGTAGAAAGTTTGAGCTGATTCTGACTTAAATTTTTAAAGTTAGGTCCATTTTAAGAAATTTGCCAAAATCTGAAAAAATACCCAAGGCTATAGCCCATGGTTTTTTTCTGAAAAATGGCCGAAAAAACACCTCCAATTTTTATTACATTTTCTGATACATATTAATGTCCTTATGCTATGTAGAAAGTTTGAGCTGATTCCGATTTAAATTTTTCAAGTTATGGCCATTTTGAGAAACTTGCCAAAATTTGAAAAATACTCAAGGCTATAGCCCATGTTTTTTTCCTAAAAATGGCTCCAAAATTACCCCCAATTTTTATTACATTTTCTGATACACATTGATGTCCTTATGCTATGTAGAAAGTTTAAGCCGCTTATGACTAAATTAA